TTGAAGATTTTCTATGGAGAGTTATATCCCTTTAAATAATGAAATATAATATATATATTTATAAAATATATAAAAATAAATATTAAACAAATATATAAAAAAATGAAATGACATCTTGTTCATAAATTGAAAAAAAATAAATTAACACAAACAAATTACCAAATCATCCCGTTAGAATAGACGAAATAGAATAAATAAATAAAAAATAAATAATAAAATCAATGAACCCAAATAAATAAAATAAATAATAAAAAATTAACAAACCATTATGACCAAAATAAAATTATGACAAAAAATCAAACCAAAAATCGGACGAAAAACATAAATAACTGTTATATAACGATAAAAAAAATACTACGTTACTTAAAATTGAAAACCGAAAAGAGTAAATAAAAAATATATACAGTATAATAAAAATAAATAATAAAAAAAAAAAAATAAATTAATCTAAATTAATCCCAATAAATAAACAAACTAACAAACCGATCCTGATAAATTAATCATTAGAAAAGATAATCAATCCAAATAAATAAATGAAGTAATAAACAAATTAAAAACTGCTTCCACCAAAATAATAGGTAGGATAAACTACAGCAATCAACCCCGAAATTGAATAAATAGCTTTAATTATCTTCCCAAACCAAAACAAAACTATTAAATAAGCGATATAAACAAATTTTTTACTACGTTAATAAAAAACAAAACTAAAAAAAAAAATAAATAAATAAATATATAAGATAAAAAAAAAAAAAAAAATAAAAAAAAAAAAAAAAAAATAATTAAACAAATTTTATAAATAAAAATAAACAAATAAACGAATTCCGGTAAAATAACCGCCAAAATAGACTACCCACAATGCACCACTTGACCCGTATATATAAAAATAGCCGAGAAAAAAAAGCAACACTTCTGACCTGACGATTGCATTTAGCATGAAACAGACTGTTGCCTGTAAGTGTTGATTTTTATGTTCACTTATATATATATATATATATATATATATATATATATATATATATATATATAAAGGCAATTTATTTTACCGACGTACTACATCCTCTGATGGATTTTATCAAGGTAAATGTAGGGTGTTTTATTTTGCAACAAATGTTAGTTTTTCAAAATTTTTACATTTAAGAATGTTCATGAATACACTTCAGATTAACTGAAAACCCAAGTAAACAATGGAGAAGACTATTATGTAATTTAGTGCCTAATAAACGAAAGTGTGTAAGAATTTTTTTTATTTAATGTAATTATTAGTTTAGTTTAGTTTGAGAAATTAATTTATGTATTTATTTATTTTAACAGATCGCTACATCTATTAGAGAAATGAAATTTAAATTTTTTTTGTTTCATTAATCCAAAATGTTAACACATGAGCAGATAGCTATTAACGTCAACAGCTGAGCACAAATAGTTATTAATTAAAAAAATTAGTAATTAATGTATAATATTATTCATAAGTACATGTAAAAGAATCTAGTTTTTTGATAAAAGTTAAAAAACGAACATAAATACGTAAAAAAATGCGTATATTGTCGGAAATTCCTTTTTCCACAATATAGATATTTTTTTAAAATATTAAAGAAATCTTTTTAATCAAATCTCCCTAATTAAAAAAATTTAATCTGTTAATCTTCCATTTAATAGATTGCTCTGAAAATGATAAAAAAAGTCCATTCTGAAAAAATGTTAAAATTACAAAAATAAATTCTGTATAAAAGAAAAATACAAAATTCTTGTAAATGGCCAAAGTTTTTGAATTGTTAAGCGATTCATCAGTTTTTAGCCACGTTGTCTCGTTTGTTTAACTGGTATATTTTTCTTTGTTGGGGATGATATATCTATTATGACAAGTTGTACTATTATTATAGACGCACAGGACCTTTTTTTTTATGCAATGTGACATGAAAATTTCATGTTTGTTTCCTACAGATATTTAAAATCTTTGTCTTTTATTTAGAAGGACTAATCATAAACTAAAAGAAAACAGAATAGATTTGTTATCAGTAAAAAAATGATTGCAAAGGTCTTTATAGTAAAATTTTGTATAGGGAGGTAAATTTGAAATATCTGGGAAATGTTCTGACGGAGGACCAAATGAAAAATGCTGAGATCCCAAAAATATTTCCATGGTTCTTTTAAAAATGCATTCAAAAAGCTTGAAATTAGAAATTACGAGACAAAATTTCGTTGGTAAAAAAAAAAAAAAAAAAAAAAAAAAAAGTTTGAACTTATTTATTGTCCTCCTTTACGGCAGCGAATGTTTACGCATTTATTTCTTAAAAAGATGAAAAAGAGACTCAAATAACATAGGTTAGGTTCTATTTTTGATGCTAATTATATTTGATAGACCGAAATGTGATCAATTAATGAATTGAAGTTTGGAGAAATACAAACAATTTGGAAGAATGTAATTAACATCAGGAAGAATAGCTGAAATTTCTGGGATACGTCATGAGAAAGGAGGGTTTATCAAGAGATGAAATTTAATTTTTTATTGTTGCATTATTCCAAAAAACAAAAACACATCAGCAGATAGCTATTAAATAAAAACAGCTAGCACAAATAGTTATTAATTAAAAAAAAATAGTAATTAATGTATAATATTATCCATAAAATTACATGTACAAGAATGTCGTTTTTTATAAAAATTAAAAAAAATGATAAATATATAAAAAAACCCGTATATTGTTGAAAATTCCTTTTTCCAATCTATAGGTATTTTTTTGAAAAGTTATAATGCTTTTATTACCTAAACATAAATAAAATAAATATTTTTTTTTAAACATTAAAGTATATTTAATCACATTTTCCAAAATAGAACGCATTTTAAAATTAATAAAATTTTTTTAAATTTATATATATTTTTAATTAATTTATTTTAATTTTTTTGATAAACATTATTGGCTTGCGATTTTTGTTTATGTTTTCGGAAGCAGATTTTTGAAAAAATAACATTTTAGCAGATTTACATTTTGGTAAGATGCGGCACTTTTGTGAATTTTCTGTCTAAATTACATTCTGGTTTAATAAGAGTGGAATTCTTTAGATCAAAGTTGTGGTTGAATTTATTTCTATCTATAACTAATGCATTTGATCAATTGCTGTGTATAAGATCCTTTTGTATCTTATTTTACATTTCTTTTTATTTTCTTTTTAAAGCAAATTTGTAATATGAGGGATTTAAGTTGTAACGTGGGTTATTTTAAAACCTGCTTCATTTAATTATTATCATGATGAATATAAATGCCCAATGTTTTTAAATTTTGCTATTACTGCACAGTATAGTAGGGTCAAAATTTCAAATGTCTGTGAAAAATATACCGTGTCGCAATTCATATATATTAGAAATTTGTCATAAAGTTCGTGTGCACTTTAAAAATTTATAACTTTATTTGTATTTTTATAGAAATAATTTGTAAAAAGGATTAGAAAAGAAATAAATCTATATTTTTAAAAGGTTTTATTGAAATTTTATTTAAATTTCCACATCTTCCATCATTAACAATACAAAGGTAATACCATTTTGCAGTTCACGGATAACAAACTTTATAAATTTTTTACAGATTATTTCTATCGCAAATACAAATAAAGTTATAAATTTTTTAAAGTGCACATGAACTTTATGGACACCCTGTATAGGAAAAAAAAATAAGCATCAAATATATTTGGAAAGGTTATTCCGATATTTAAATTATTAAGAACGTTCTTAATGAACACCCAGAAAAGAATCGTAGCAGACATTAGCAATGTCTACGATGAAGTGCTGAAAAATTCTCAACCCGATCCCTAGGTAGGCATTAAAAAATAATCAATTCTAATGTTAGATTATTTGGTCAGGTTTCGTGTATTGTGCACATTGGAAGCCACGTACTGTCTTAAAAAAATGTATGCACGCTTTAAATATTGAGATCACGTCACTTAAACGACATCAAACGATTTATAATTCAAAATAAAAGAAGACAAATATCTAATTCTTTTGAGTTGTTGCACGTGTTCAAAGCTGATAGCCGTTTGGGCCCCAGACAATGACGACAACGCAGTTGCAGAGACTGTTTTAGCATCACAAAATCTTTTTCATCTATCAATGACTTTCGTTTTTTTTTATTTTTTATTTCACCATTTGTTGTTTGGTAACAGAAATAATTTTATGATGACATTATCTTCATTGAGGCTTTGTACCAATGGTGGAATAAAACTTTTCCAATATGCACGTTTTATAAATGCGATGAACGATATATATATTGATTCTATATACATATTTGAAATACAAATCAGGGGCAAATCTATCGCTTTGCCGAACGGGTGTGTCTTTCATTGGCGGCTCTTGACGGTAAGTTCTTTTTATCCATTCTTCTTGACAATGGGTTTTCCAGATTTTATAAATTACAAATGGACATCTTGTAACTATTTCTTAAAAAAAGTTATTTTCGTGCAAACAGTAGTCGCTCGCATTGTTAAATCTGTTTGAAACGTTCTTCTAAACACTCTTTGAACTTAAGTGAGGTTCTTGAATTTCAAGCAGTACGTTAGAATAAACTTTTTTTTTCAATGCCAGTTATTTTCATTGTATTGATTTTTTGTCTGTAATATTTATTTTGTTTTGCCTTTTTTTAAATGTTTTAAATATATATATATAATGTATGCAAATTAGAAAGTGAAGACACATATGTGTGTATTCCTACAATTTTTTTTTTTCATATATTAAATATATATGTATTTGTATTTATGTGTTTTTGTAATAAATTAAATGTGTGTGTCTTCTGAAACTGTGTTTCTTCTGTGTTTCTTGTATGGTTCTATGTTTCTTTTCTGTGTCTGTCTCTTCCATGCTTCTTCTATGTTTCTACCTTAATTCTATGTTTTTTCTTGCATGTATCTATGTTTCTACTATGTTTCTTCCATGTATCTAATCTTTATTTTATATTTTTTCTATGTTTCTTCTATGCTTCTTCGATGTTTCTATGTTTCATTCATGTTTCTTCTAGATATGCATGTTTCTTTTATGTTTCTATGTTTCATTTATGTTTCTTCTAGATATCTATGTTTCTTTTATGGTTCTATGTTTCTTTTATGTTTCTTTTATGTTTCTATGTTTCTTTCATGTTTCTTCTCTATATCTAAGTTTCTTATGTTTCTTTTATGGTTCCATGTTTCTTTTATATTTATTCTATGTTTCAATGTTTCTTTTATGTTTCTTTAATGTATCTATGTTTCTTATGTTTCTTTTACAGTTCTATGCTTCTTCTGTGTTTTTTACGGTTCTATGTTTCTTCTATGTTTCTCCTATATTTCTTTTAAGTATCTGTTTCTTTTATTTTTCTATGTTTCTGTTTCTTCTATGCTTCTTCGATGTTTCTATGTTTCTTTTATGTTTCTTCTATATATGCATGTTTCTTATATTTCTTTTATGGTTCCATGTTTCTTCTATGTTTCTCCCATATTTCTTTTATTTTTTCTGTTTTTTTTAATGCTTTTTCGGTGTTTCTTTGATGTTTGTTTATATATATATATATATATATATATATATGTTTCTTATGTTTCTTTTATAGTTCTGAGTTTCTTATATGTTTCTTTAATATTTCTGTGTCTCTTCTATGTTTCTTCTCTGTTTCTTATGTTTCTTTTATGTTTCTATGCTTCTTCTATGTATCTATGTTTCTTTTATATTTGTCTATGTATCTGTTACTTCTACGCCACTTCTATCTTTCTGTTTCTATGTTTTTTGTATGTTTCTTGCATATTTCTTATGTTTCTTCTATGTTTAATCTATGTTTCTTTGTTTCTTTTATTTATCTTATGTCTCTATGTCTATTCTGTCTTTCTTCTATATTTCTACGTTTCTTATATGTTTCCATCCTTCTTCTATGTTTCTTCGATGTTTCTACATTTCTACATTCGTTTGTGCTGCTACCGTTCAACTATATTTCTTCTGTCTTACAAATACACTTCTGCCTTCAGGTTCGCAACAATTATTCTCGAACTGATATTCTTATATATATATATATATTGTTTATACGTTATTTTTATAGATACAAATATTTTTAGTAAATGCTCTGTTTATAATAAACAGTATTAACAACATTTGCCGGCCTGAATGTCCGAGAAATATCAAAGAAAATATGTGTCCTCCGACAGGAATCGAACCTATATCCTACACGGAACCATAATATAGCCTGGCGTGCTATAACATTTAGCTACAGAGGAAGCGTTTGGTTAGCAAGTTTTCTTTGAGATTTCTCGGACATTCAAGCCGGCAAATGTTGTTAATACTGTTTATTATAAATAGAGGATTTAGTCCATTAAAGTGGGCACTGAGGTCAAGAGAAAGCTGTGTTTTATGCTTCAACGCAATCTGATATTTGCTGGTCCGTGGTGCATTAAGGGCAGTAAAGCTTGTTTCAATTTATTCTAAAGGCTATTTAGTAGATTCATTTGTGGATCCGAATGCAGTTATTTGTTAATATTTTACTCATTTTTATTATTATTGATTACTTTATTATTTCTTGTTGTTACTTATGTTTTTGTGTTCATTCGTAGTTAATTTGTTTATAACTTAAATTTATTTATTCATTTATTTAAATTCTTTTTCAGGGGTTGGTTATGTTATTTGTTTATTTTAAAGTATCAGCTTTGTATAAAGTGTGTTAAAATTATTTGTGTTGTATATAATGTATATATTAGCATTTTTCATGATGGTATTTTAGAAGCTATTCGTTTTTGGTTTTCGATTTTTAAGTAACGTCGTAAAAATTTGTTTTCGTGCCTGCATTTTGAGACCTAATCATTTATTTATTTATTCATGTTTTCCTGCGAAGGGGATTATGGGTATTTTCTCCTCTTGACAAAGTTTACATTTTCTTTATTTAGTATTGTAAGCTGATGCTGTCTTCCTTAATTTCCATAATATTTTTCTATATAATTTGTGTTTTGTTTTTAATACCCCACATATGTTTATAAAGCATTGTGCTGTTCGCGTATTTACTATTTGTAAAGGATGTTTAATGCGTGTAATATCTATATTTCCAGGATCCATTAAGTTACTACTATCTATACTTTGTTAACTACTGATTTTACAGTGGCTTGGTATATTACATTGTTCTGTAAGCAATTGCCTGTTATGAGACATTCGTTCTTTGCTCTTCAGTTACACGTGGATTAGGTTTGGGCAGGTGGTTTTTTGGTTGTTTTCCTGTTGTGTTTTTTATTATTTGTGTCATGTTCTCGGTACAAATGTAGCTGTTTCTTTAACATGTTTTTGTTGAATATCTTGTGGAGAGTGCTTGATGGGGAGGGAGTGTGTATAACGAATATTTTTTCTACGTTTGTGTTTACGTTTTGTTATACGGTGGGTAAAGTCATTGTATTTTGTAGTGTGTATGTATGTGTTGCTTTTAATGCTGTTGCATCATTTTTCTTGGCTACATTGAAGATAGTTTCATTGGAAGAGTTGTCAGATAACTGGCGTATACTGCTTGATTATTGATAGCTGACAATTGGAAGATGTTTGCATGAAAAGTGGTTTGTCGTTGGGTTTCCTCTATAGTTGATAAATAGCTTTTGTTAGGTTGAATACGGAATCTAGTAAATCTGCTTCTATCAAATTCATCCACTTTTATATCTATATACACTCTCTCTGATATTGAGCACTTTTACCTATAAAGATACCATATCTTAAAAATATATTTTTATCATATACTCACACGTTTTACATACATACATACATATATATATATATATATATATATATATATATTATCTTAACCAAAGAGTCAAACCAATAGGAGTGTATGTGCGCGTCTACATGTCTTTATGTGTGTGAGGAAGTGTAAATTTCTCTGACGGCGCAGGCGATAAATTTGAAAAGCGTCAAGAACACCCCTACCCGATCCTTGTTGAAATGAATATCGCTACACATAAAAAGCTAAGCTCCCGACACCGAAATAGAATTACAATTGTGTATGTATATATGCCCGAACACATGGATGCGTATCTGCGCCTAAACTCGGATTGCTTATATGGATGTGTTTGTGTGAACTAAAATGCATACACCTATATGTATGTGCGTCTATGTATGTGAGAATGTCATCCCAGTCACAGAAGCAGATTCCCCCACCCACCTTCAAACATAGTCAAACAAGCATAAATAGATCCAATTTTAAAAAATAAACCAGTTTGTCTGATGATCGGAAAAGCGTGAAACCCAGGGTCACAAACTCATATCCATACAACTGAATATGTTAGCTCTATCACAGATATTGAACGCTTTCCACTAAGTACTGCACATATAAAATAATATATATATATATATATATATATATATATATATATATATATATATAAACAAGTTAATGGTCAGAGTTGAATTAGATCAAGAAACAGAAGTATTAAAAACTAGTATTTCCAGGACGAAGGCAGCCGATTCATACAACCTCTGCTGCTGTTTATGGCCGCATCGCTGGCACCAGACAATATGGTCCGCTCGTACGTCTGACCACGAAGAACACATTCTACAGGCTGTCGGAGACGATCCAGCTATCAGTAGACCTCAAGTGGCCCTAGCATGTCTTACATCTTCGCATGAAGTGAGGGTAGTTCCTGTATCCGTATCATTTACAACGTGTGCAGGGTCTTTCGCTCTCTGATCACTCACCACCCTCCCAGCATGTCTTACAGGAATTAGCAGGAGTACATCCTCTAGCAGCTAGTACAAAGACGTATATGGTTCATGCATGATGGGTCTCCAGTATATTTTGTGTAGTAGTGAGTTAAATGAGAAGTCTTCAGTTTAACAATGTCAGGATATTCATATCGTGAGCAGGCAGATATTATTTTTACGTACGGCCGCATGAATGGTAATGGACACGAGGCTGCACGATTGTATCAGATTGCGTTTCCAGAACGAAAGCAGCCGAGTCACCCAACCTTTGCTACTGTTTATCGTTGTGTTGCCGGGAGAGGATCAGTGGCATCACAAAATATGGACCGAGGAAAACCGATTGCAAATTTAACAGTGGCTATCGTAAACTTTAAACTTAATAACTCAAAAGCGAAGGATTTGCGGACATATATGGTCTTTGTCCTTGTTTTGGTGTAAGGCCACCAAAGTTTCTCTCTCTCTCTCTCTCTCTCTATATATATATATATATATATATATATATATATATATATATATATATATATAAGGCTCAAACATTAATATAATAATGGTTATAATTTATTACATTGGCATCGTAATCACGATCCAAATCATCAGACCTACAAATTCAAAATATAATCGAAAATATAAAAAATGTATAAAAATAAAAATTTTTAGTGATATTTTTTTTATTTTTGAATTTGTAGGTCTGATGAATTGGATCGTGATTACGATTCCAATGTAATAAATTATAACCATGGAATATTAGTGTTTGAGCCTTTATATTATATTCTTACTCTGTCCTGGACATTGAGTTCTACCTGGATTCTATCCTCTTGGGAATTTATATATATATATATATTGACATTAATATTATCTATCTATCTATACACATTAACATTATCTATATATATATATATAGATCATATATATTACCTCGCCTCTCCCGAATTCGACGTATGACGGTCAAGCAGCTCAGTTCCTAGGAATCGACAGCCAGACATCAGCACATGGGATTTGATTACAGCGGTGAACGTTTCGTGCAGGACCATCCACACTTTTTGAAGGGCCGAATACAGAGACCTGGAGCAGATTTTGAATTCAGAATTGTCCGTCTCCTAGACTATAGAAACCAGTCTGTACTGATATTTACCCATGGCTGGAAGGAGAAGAAGAGGATTCATACCTTTCCCAAGGGAATTAGCACGTGAGTAAATGTAATGGATTCGACTGGAATTCGAACTCGGCTCTCCGATTCCTCAATCCAAGTCGCTAACCATTACGCCACCTAGTTCTCGTTCACTGGGTAAATACACACATATCTACACCATAAAAACAGTCTGCACTTTATTTCTCTGTTTTTTCTTTTTTTAAGTTTAGAAAGAGGAATGTACTCTATGCCATTCTGTTTTTTTACTCTGTCATCCGTGTTGAAAAGATGCCATAGTTTTACAGACATATTCCTTCATTTTAATTCATCTTCCTATTTTTTTTCTTCTTTCTCACGCGTCTTTTTAGCCTCTTGTAAATGCTTTGATGCATACTTATTAAAATTGCCAAAGCACACCATCTTTTTCTGCCTTCATCTTCTCTCTCTCTCTCTCTCTTTCTCACTGTCTTTCCCTCTCTCTCTCTCTCTCTTGTTTTCGTATCTCGAAACCGTTAGATACAGATATACAGATATCAACCTACAATGATTTATTAGAGATTCTCCTATCTATAAAGAAACGTCGCCCGACCATCTTCATATGTTGAACATACCGTATAGAGTCGATTGTGAACACTTAATCGCGTAGAGGAGCACACAAGAAGTTCAGGACACCTGCAAGAAAACAACTATTGAATTTGTCGTAACCTCCTATCGAATTAGTGTCCGTCTTTCTTGGCTTCGAATATTGGATTAAGTCTACGTCATCTACCTGGACATGATTAGAGAGTCACTTGGGTGTCTATCGATTCGTACTTGTCGACCTTCCTCACCCCCCAAAATCTTTACCTTTCGCACAAAAGGCAAAGTGCCAAATAGTCCATCGCTTTACCTACATTTCTCTCACCTCCAAATTTTTTTTTTTTTTACCGCCTCAGTTCATTTCCTCTTTTGACTTTTCTCATCGTTTCTCGTCTTTTAGCTCTTTTTCTTCCATTATACTCTCTCTTTATGGCTCTGATTTTCTCTCTCTCTCTGATTTTCTCTCTCTCTCTATGTCTCTGATTTTCTCTCTCTCTTTATGACTATGCTTTTCTCTTTCTTTTTGGCTCTGCTTTTCTCTCTCTTTATGGCTCTGCTTTTTCTCTCTCACTCTATGGCTCTGCTTTTCTCTCTCTTTATGGCTCTGCTTTTCTCTCTCTCTCTCTCTCTCTCTCTATGACTATGCTTTTCTCTATCTTTTTGGCTCTGCTTTTCACTCTCTTTATGGCTCAGTTTTTCTCTCTCTCTCTCTCTCGCTATGACTATGCTTTTATCTCTCTTTATGGCTATGCTTTTCACTCTCTTTATGGCTCTGTTTTTCTCTCTCTCTCTCTGACTATGCTTTTCTCTCTCTTTAGGGCTCTGCTTTTCTCTCTCTTTAGGGCTCTGCTTTTCTCTCTCTTTATGGTTCTGCTTTTCTCTCTCTTTATGGCTCTGATTTTCTCTCTCTTTTTGGTTCTGCTTTTCTCTCTCTTTATGGCTCTGATTTTCTCTCTCTTTTTGGCTCTGCTTTTCTCTCTCATTATGGCTCTGATTTTCTCTCTCTATGTCTCTGCTTTTCTCTCTCTTTATGGCTCTGATTTTCTCTCTCTTTATGGCTCTGCTTTTCTCTCTCATTATGGCTCTGATTTTCTCTCTCTATGTCTCTGCTTTTCTCTCTCTTTATGGCTCTGATTTTCTCTCTCTTTATGGCTCTGCTTTTCTCTCTCATTATGGCTCTGATTTTCTCTCTCTATGTCTCTGCTTTTCTCTCTCTTTATGGCTCTGCTTTTCTCTCTCTTTTTGGCTCTGCTTTTCCCTCTCTTTATGGTTCTGCTTTTCTCTCTCTCTATGACTAGGCTTTTCTCTCTTTATGGCTCTGCTTTTCTCTCTCTTTATGGTTCTGCTTTTCTCTCTCTTTTTGGCTCTGCTTTTCCCTCTCTTTATGGTTCTGCTTTTCTCTCTCTATGGTTCCGCTATTCGCTTTCGTTATCCGTTATGTTTTTGCATATTTCCCGCTTTTTCTTTGACAATTTACCGCGTAATTTTTTTTACGCGCGATTTCCTTCCTCGCCCATTTACATGACGAACTGTTTGGGCTTAAATTTTTTTTTTTTATCTGACTTGTTTTTCTCTCCATCCTAAACCCTTGTTAAATGTATTCTTTTTTTTTTCTTCCATTCTTTACCGGCGTCTACGTCCATCATAATTTAGAGAAACAAGAAGAAACTGACAAAATGGCGAAAACATGAATAGTCGAGATGCTTGAGGACGATGAAAAATTTGTTTACTTTCTTTAAAAATATTTAATATATTTTGACCAGTTATATTTAAACATTTCTCTTATTTCTGAAGGTAAGGATTTTGTACAGAATAATTTACACATTGTTTTTAATGTTGCCTTTAACTCCTTCATTTACTTGCTTTAGCACAACGCCGATCTACTCTACGGTCTTTGAGTTAAATTGTAGAAATCTGTGACAAAGTATAAGATCAGACGTGATTTAACTTATATCTCATCGTTGGCGAGTTCGTAATGTCATCTGACAAGGCCTTACCGTTTCGTCTCTTGAAATTGTGAATACTTCTCATGTTAGTTTCAGACTATTATTTTTTAGTGGAAGTATATTCGGCTCAGGCTGACCGTAAAGGCAGATTGTAGACAAAATAGGGATGTCGATTTTGATTGGCTGAGCCAAACGTGGGAATGTTAGAGAGACAGAAAGTGTTTTCAAGGAGTTAAGTTTTACGCGTCGGAGAATGCAGACGTGTTAATTTCGTGTACGGGAACTTGCTCCCCAGTGGGGGTGATAGGTTGACCCCACTAAAAAAGTACACGTTGACGTGTTTAATAAGATAGATAATTTAAAATCCCTTTTGTTGAAGTTCTCATTTAACCTCCGAACAAACCAGC